TTGATGGTTCTATGATTCTATGATCACAAACATCTGTCTTGTGAGATTCTTTCTTTCTTGCCACCTGGATGAGAGAGATGTGCAGGGCAGGTGGGTCATCACATTGCTCTGTGCTCAAGATAAAGGTCAAAAAACCTTCTAACATCTCCTAATAACCAGGCCAGGAAACAGTCAAAATATGTCAGCCCTTTCTACTGTGAACCCCATGACTGTCCCTCAGAGGACTCTGCCTTCTCTGCAGGTCACTGATTAGGGTTTTGAAGACTCAAAAGAAGGGCTGAACCCTGACAGATTCCAGAGACTACAGCCTTGTTGGGGAATGCTGGCAGTGGTGCTTAGCAGGTCACAGTCAGCTGTGCTCTGCAGATCAGGGTGTGCTTCAAATGGCAGCAGAGCACCCAACTTAATTTCCAATGGGTTCATTCAAAGGCAAATCAGCAAAATACAACATCCTGAAAATGAGAACATCTCAAGACACCACCTGAGCTCTGGTGCCACAGTTCAATCACTCCAGATATAGGAAGCACCTGAGCTAACACATTTTTAGCAATCTCAAGTGTCTTTCCACTTCACTGGAGACCACAGTCTAGACATGTTTACAGAGATGGAGATACTTAACATATTGTTATACCATCTTTTTGGATTCCTAGTTCAGGCACAATTTAAAGAGAATGACTGCTGAGCACTTGGAAGAAGGAGAGGTTGGCACAGCATTCTCAGGATTCAGAATTAATGACAGCCTGCATGTCACTTCTGTTCAGGGAGCACTGGGATCAGTGGCAGATATTCCCAGGCGACAGGCAATCCTGAAGACATGAAAACAACTGCAAATATTGTGAAGTTGGAAGTGATGGCAGATGTGTTCCCAAAAAAACAGCTTCTCATATGGACCCATAGAGTCATAGAATCAATAAGGTTGGAGGAGACCTCTAAGATCATTGAGTCCAACCATGAACCTGTCCCTGCTGGAACCCCCAAACCCTAACCCAGATCCTCCAGTGCCACATCAGACACCTCTGAAACACCTCCAGGGATGGTGACTGCACCACCTCCCTGGGCAATATCCCAGTGCTGAACACCACAACAGGGAAAACATTTCTCCTCACACCCAGTCTGACTCTGCCCTGGCTCAGCTCAAGGCCATTCCCTCTCTCCTCTCCCTCAGCCCTGGCAGGACACACATCCCCCACCTCTCTCCAGCCCTGGCAGGAGTTGCAGAGAGCCAGGAGGGCACCCCTGAGCCTCTTCTCCAGGCTGACCAAACCCAATTCCTGAGGCCCTTCCCCATATGACAGGTTTTCCAGACCTTTTATGAGCCTCATTGCCCTTCACTTTTCTCCTTGATGTAGCTCTGAAGATAAGAGCTCTCCAAAGCCAGAACCCATCCCACCTGGGGTCAGTGCACTGTGGGCCCTGATCCTGCAGGCTGAAGGAGTGAGAGAGTCAATAATGTGAGATGTGTATGCAATCCCTGGCCAAGTCTGTAGCACAGATCTCACTCTGTACACTAAGAACATGAGCTGCAGCAGTCTCAGACACAGACCCTCTCATTTTCCTCAGGCTGCAGGAATCAGTGCTTTCAGCATAACACATCCCTGGTCCAGCTGCTGTGTTGTCAGATGAGACAGAAGCCACCAGCAATGGGAATATGACAAGTCAGTGAGGAGACATCTACCTGTCAGCATTTTCAGCACAACTCATCATCAGCAGAGCCCCATATGCACACCCAGGTTTCAAAATCTGCCTCTCCCAGTAGTATATCCTACCCATTGGGGAATGGAGTGTCAGCCAAAATCTGGTTCAAGCCCTTTGCAGTCTGGGGAATGGAGTGGCAACCAAAATCTGGTTCAAGCCCTTTGCAGTAAAACCCACCACGTTAGCCAAGCTGAATGGGAGAGGTGACCCCACACATCCCTGCAGTGACTGACTGCTGCTGACAGATTCATGCTTTCAGGCTGAAAGAATTGCTTGTTCTTTAAGCAAAAGGTGAAAGACTAAGAGATGAAAAACCTAAAATTACTTTTACCAGCAAGATATAGCCAGACAACTCCTGGAGCCAGTTAATCTACTACAGGCATGGGGAAAAAAAAAAAAGGCAGAACTACATTAACACCTCTGCATTCCCAAGAGCCCAAAGAGATGAGATCTGAAGGGTCCAGTATAAAAGTCAAATATCCAATTGCTTCCCAAACCAGCTGAGTTGCCACGGGACTTGACAGCAACACTGGGAGGAGGAGAACATCTACAGAGATGAGTTTTCCAGTGTATTTAACAGAATCCTCTACTTTGGTGTATAATACAGCTCATCTACTGGGAAAAGTTTTCACCTCATCTAACGGGTCAGATACAGAGAAAGCAAAGATTCATCTATTGTTACAAACCAGCTGAATTCTCATTGGGATTGATTTAAGACCTGAAAGGTAAACAAATAAGAGGAGATGAAGAGGAAAATGCACCATTTGTTGAAACCTCCAGCAGAAACTTGAGGAGAGTGTAATGTTGCTGGACCTTAACCATTTATCACATGATTTAAGAAGAAATAATGTATGTCAGAAAAAAAAAAGTTATACTTGTACACTCCAGGGTACACCAAAAGTGGTTGTGCAGCAGAAGAAATAAAACTATCTGCTCCTATAGAGTGAAGGAAGAAAAAAGTGATAGGCTTGAAGTATAGCAAAGGAGATGGAACAGCAGAAAAAATTTTCATAGGAGGCAGAATGAAAAAAACAAAATAGATGAGCAAATATGCAGAGAGCTCTGGGGCTCTTCATCACCAATTTCATAGGAGGCAGAATGAAAAGAACAAAATAGATGAGCAAATATCCAGAGAGCTCTGGGGCTCTTCATCACCAGAGGTCTCTGAAAACAGTCCAGCCAAACATCAGAGAAACACAGAATTTTAGGGATTGGAATGGAGTTTATAGATCACCTAGTCCCAACTTTTTGCCCTGGGCAGGGACACCTCCCACCAGAGCAGGTTGCTCAAGGCTTTAGCCAACCTGGCTGTGAACACTT